GGAGATAACGTTAATATAGACTTGACGTAAAATGTGACGTAATGCGGCCACACGACACCGTTTTCGTTACATATAGTCGGGGCGATAAACGTTAACATTGAATTGACCTTCAACGGTTGATTTGGTCACCCGAAATCCATTTCAGTTGATCCAGCAACCCGATTTAGATTTACGTTGATATTTAGATAAAAACGTGGACCATTTGGCTCACAGCATAGAGGCATTCAATGCAATTGATTAAATTGGTGTATTTGGTGGGAACCTGTCTACTGCCTTTTGGGTGTCGGGAGCCTACCTATCTGCGCTACAGTTAGGCGTACATATGTAAAGCATAACTGGTTGTATTCATCGAGGGGGCACGGGTGGCACAGTCGTCTAAGGCGCCGCAATTCGCTGTGCAGAGTTGCGTCCCTTTGGCACACCAGAAACCTATGATTTTGGGTTCGAATCCCGGTTCGCCCCGATTATGTTTTTAGGTTTGTCAGCACCATACCCGTGCTCGTGTGTTTCACCGAAGTGGTAAACGTCTGAGACCTGCATCACTTCGGACTTTTCCCACATTAAGCTGACGCGCCGGAATACTGTTAAAAGCGGCGTTAAACCCAACTCAACGAGTATTCATTGACGTGTTGTGTTGGAAGACACTTGATAAGGTCAGCTGTGGGAAGACTATCGTGGAAGAGTTGCCGCCAATGCAGTTGCTCGATACACACGTTTTATGACCACACGTCCACAACGGAATGCATGTGTGTCCTGTTGAAGCTTGATCTTACTTTAATGTGTTTTCGAGAATAACTTAAATGGTTGAATGAGTTGACTTTAACTCCACTGTCAACATTCTTTCACACATATCAGGGTGTGTCACCTTCACCTGGAAGAAATCCCCACGTAATGACAGCTTCTAGAAATTTACCACTTTAGTACAACCCACGATCAAGTGAGTGAGTGAGTGAGTTTGTTGTTTAACGCCGCACTCAGAAATATTCTAGCTGTGACGGCCGTCTGCAAATAATCGATTTTGGACCAGACAAGTGATTGACATCATGAGCATCGATCCCCGCAATTGGGATCGACGACATGCATCAACCAAGTCAGCAAGCTTGACCACCCGATCTCGTTAGTCGCCTCTTACGACAAGCATAGGCGCGTTTTTCTGCAAGCATGGGTTGCTGAAGACCTAATCTACCCCGGTTCTTCACGGATCCCAACGGTCAAGGGACGTGGGTTGCCTGATCAAGTGTCACAGTAACACAATTACTCTGCACATTCATCCCGATGGCTTAGTCTACTGGGCTACTCTCTCTACAGTTTATTTAACTCTGTAAACCCTATTCTGTGAAAGCCCAGGGAGCGCAAGGTCGGTAGTTCGATCCCCGGCAGCGCCATATCAAAATACGTTAAAAGATCATGGTACTTGTTGTTATTCTGCCTGGCGCTCGACATTAATGGGATAAAACAAGGACTTTCGTCTCAGAGTCAGTATAGTGTGTCTGAGAAAGGTATCCATGTTAAACGTGGTATCTCAATGGGCTAGCACAATATAACCGGCATTTTTATCGAACTATTATATCTAAAGCACGGGACGCTTGTGTGCTTTTTTGGAATAATAGCTATTTGACAATTTTGAAGAATCTATTTCACCAGTCAACAAGAATGATGGAACAATGATATCAAGTATTCGTTAATCCACGGGGGAGGTAAGTCTAAAAGTGTACCTCGTGACAAGATAAAGTAATACGTCTTTACCGAAGCATCTTTGAACTATCTTTGTTATACCTCTATCAACAATCTTGCAATTCCATTGGTTAATCCGTACCACGTGACGAAATGAAACATTTCAATGTAAACCCCGAAATCGTATGACTGACACTGGCCTCGAATACTGACCTCGTCACATGATCAGCATTGACCTGTCACGTGATGAATATTGACTGGTGCGAACGGTTCAGGGTTCGCTGCTAAGTTACTGTAATGCAACAGAAGACAGTTTAAAAAACTTCATTCAGGGAACTTCGATATAACAAAACAAATGCGGCCTCGGTCCGGTCAGACCTCCCCAGGGATCGGGTCCTTGTTTTCGAACACTGACCTCGTCAAGAGTAATTACGATGGCGACCCTACGGCCATAATGTATGACCTGGTTTATTGTGTATGAGACGATGCTCATGCTGAGGTTTGCCTGGTCTGTCAGATCCGGTGTCTATAAGTTACATAGCTGACACAGACTACGTCCCCGTTCCACTCGAACTCTGTCCAATACCATGGACACCTCGTGTCGCAGACATAGTGATACCCAGAAATATCATTGATCGTGCAATGATAATGCTTTACTATACCACATATGTCTCTTCTGGGTGTATCATTATAGCATCTTGCTGTACAAAACTATTAACTTAGTTATCGACGGCTTCATCGGAATAATAATGAGCCTGTGACACACATTACATGGGCGGGGTATGTGGTCCAAGTGTTTATAGGACTTGGCAAATCATGTCCAACAATACAGCACACCAGGACCCCTCGTTTGCATTTACGCTGAGTCATTTTCACGTTTAAAGCCGCATTCAAAGTATGATGGTAAAAAACGAAATAAGCCTTCCCGAAAACAATATTAATCACTCCCCATGTGGTGCTGAAATGTAACTAGAGACGCAAGTTAGCCCTGGTAACGCCGTGTTCATCAAGGCATCCCCATGACTGAAGACTCTGAGTTCTGCAGTCCAGGTTATGTCACCTATTAGTTGCAATGGCTTGTTGCACGTCACCTGAAGCAGAGAAACGTGATTAATATCATGGATTTTATTTTTGACAGCTTATAGATATGATTCAGTTCTATAGCTATATGTGTTACCTGGGGAAACCTTGACACGAAGACAATCTTATTCAGGAGCGTGCGAAGTAGACGCTTCGTAAACAGGAGATAGGGATTGGGCTGACTGACAGAAAATGGGCACACCCGACACCCTACACCCTGATACCCGAACCCCCTTCTGTGTCATATTCCCGGGTAGACTCCGCGTCCTGTCCGTGCCAAATTCCGATGATTCTTTATACACTCAACGTGTTTCTCTAACTCTAAATCTCTTCCCTCACTGCTCTACTCCTCCACACCTTATCTTCCTCATTTCTCCACTACCCAACCCTCGTGCTCGTGGGTTTCACCGAAGTGGTAAACCTCTGAGACGTGCATTACTTCGGGCTTTCCTCCCACATTAAACTGACACGCAGCGATATAACTGGAATACTGTTAAAAGCGGCGTTAAACCCAACCCACTCACTCACCCACTCACCCACTATTAAATTCCCTATCCCCGACTTTCCCGTGAAACTGTCACCGTGTTTTCCTCTCTCAAACTGTTCAATTTTACCTCCCCCTTGTTAATATTTTATTATTATTCTACTTTTTTAATCAAATTTCCTCTCTCGTCCTTCATGCTGTTAAACTACCGTGTACATGTTTTTATTCTATCCATCCCACCTCGTAAATTTTCGCTCTAGGAAACGTATATCATATCTTCTTACTTCCTACAACTATGACATGAGAACAACAAACTCAGCGGTCTATACAGTGAGTGAGTGAGTGAGTTTGGTTTAACGCCGCTTTTAACAATATTCCAGTTATATCGCGGCGTGTCAGCTTAATGTGGGAGGAAAACCCGAAGTGATGCAGGTCTCAGACGTTTACCACTTCGGTGGAACCCACGAGCACGGGTATGGTGCTGACAAACCTAGAAACATAATTGGGGCGAACCGGGATTCGAACCCACAATCATAGGTTTCTGGCGTGCCCAAGGGACGCAACTCTGCACAGCGAATCGCGGCGCCTTAGACGACTGGGCCACCCGTGCCCCCGCAGTCTATACAGGGGAAAATGCTATACCATGCGAACATCAGACACACCAGTATATACAGGGGACATAGGGTGATATGGTTGAAGCAGGATGCTATACCATGCGAACATCAAACACACCATTATATACAGGGGAAATAGGGTGATATGGTTGAAGCAGGATGCTATACCATGCGAACATCAAACACAACATTATGTACAGGGGAAATAGGGTGATATGGTTGAAGCAGGATGCTATACCATGCGAACATCAAACACAACATTATGTACAGGGGAAATAGGGTGATATGGTTGAAGCAGGATGCTATACCATACGAACATCAAACACAACATTATATACAGGGGAAATAGGGTGATATTGTTGAAGCAGGATGCTATACCATGCAAACATCAAACACACCCGTATATACAGGGGAAATAGGGTGATATTGTTGAAGCAGGATGCTATACCATGTGAACATCAAACACACCCGTATATACAGGGGAAATAGGGTGATATGATTAAGGTAGGAACCATGTTCATAAGTTAGGATAGCATGGATCGGAAACAATGTCTGGTTCATGAATATTGTATTCAAATACCATCAACATATTTATAGTTATAGATTGCATTTTGTGTGGGGAGGAGAGAGGGGGCGCATGTTATACACCATGCCCGGAGACGACACGAGTTAAAGCGTAATATTTCGAGCTCCCGATTTTTCGATTAACGAGGCTCGTTAGGGGCATCGACATAATATTTGCATCCGTGTAAATGTATTCAAAACCGATAAAAATATATATATCTCTACCTGCTGTCACTTAAACTTCTCTTCAGCTAACGCCTAGTTTTATTAGTAATGTGTTTATTAAACATGTGTTTAGTTCGAGAAGTCAGACTATTAAGGTAGCCGCCGAAACAGTACGTGTCTGCCCCATGCTGTGAATACTTCCCGGTTGTCTCACACGCTTTCTCCTCACACATAATAATGCGTTGTTGAAAGTATATGCGAGTGACGATGATGGTAGGGTAACCAATCAGATCCTTGCATATACTCTTCCACTCCGTTGGGGACTGCCCTAGATCACCCGTCATGTTTCCAAGCCCCTCCTTCCTATATATACTCGTAGTACCAAATATATATACAGTCACTTTCGTTAACACATTGGCCATTAAGGAATGGTAGGAAGGGAAAAAACACACCTCACAGCCTTACATCTCGCCATTTTGTCATATATTAATAGTATCAAATGAAATGTAATCTCTATCGAGTTCGCACATGTCTTGTGGATGGTTGTGTCGACATCATACAACATGGCACACTTCCCATTTAGGCATTTAGCAGGTAAGAAGTGATATACATATCAAGTTTATGTTTAAAACTTCCATGTTGGTGTTTTAGTATGAAAGCTGATAGGATTATTAGCAATTTGAAGTCGCAGTATGTAAAAGTGGACATGATGTGGACGAAGGATCTATGTATTGTAGTTTTCACACATCCAAGGGTAATCGCTGATGACTGATGACGATGAGGATGAGGGGTGGGAGGATTAAGAGGAGAGAGATCCATTTTGTTGACTTGTTCTGATAAGAGGACTAAGGTTTAAATGTTCAGCTACCACCATGACGAAACGTCCCTGTTTCATCGAGTAACAGTATACCTAGTGGTTATTAGGGAGACGAAGTGAAGGATACTACTTAATGGTACATCTTATATTCATAGTTCTTGGTTCTCCGGTTGTCATGACGTGTGTACATGGATGGATTTAACAGTCCGTGCCATTTCAGTGATGGTGGTCGATATACATGGTGATTCATTTCTGTCTTTCCCGATTTTCAATTGCATAACAAACACATCATACCTGTGGACATCGGATTTACCTTTGGTTGTGTTTATGAATTAGTATTGTTCTATATACGACTGATAGTATTATATTTTCATTCATATTCAATTCTTATTAAGGACGTATTCGAAGTAGTATTGTTCAATAAATATTGTCTGTTTTAATCAAAATTGTGTGAATGGTGAGTGCTACCGGTAGGGCAGGACATGTTAACCCTTTTCGCAAACACATTTTTATCTTTATTGCCCGCTACGCCCTCAAAGGCCTTTACGTCCTTTACGCCCTTTACGCGATCTACGCCCTCTACACCCTCTACGCCCTTAACTCCATTTACGCCCTCCTCGCCCTCTACGCCTTCTGCGCCCTTTATGCCCACTACGCCCTCTACGCCCTCTACGCCCCTACCATACCCGTGCTCGTGGGTTTCACCAAGTGGTAAACGTCTGAGACCTGCATCACTTCGGGATTTCCTTCCACATTGACACGACATGATAGAACTGGAATAATGTTCATAGCGTTCCCTATGAAATTAAGTGCGTTCATCGAAAAATGGCCCATACGTTGGCCCTCATGTGTCAACGACTTCGACATGTTAGCTATTTCCTCTGCAACATCAAGGCACGTGGAAATTGGCGTCGACTATTGGCTAATATTCCTGAGGTTGTTCAAATCATTCACACGACAGAGAACAATCAGTCTCGATTATTTGCCGAAACAGATTCCATTTGGCTTAAAAGGTAAAACAGCGATGAAGATTATAGAAATGGGTCACTGAAAATCAGGTGTTCGCGAAAAAGGTCATCATGCCCTGCTCTAGAAGAAGTACCCGACACTAACACAAGGAAACCTAGCAACAATAAGTCATCCTTTTGACAAGTTCGTCCTGCATACACCCGCTGTTATACTTCTATGGGTATTCACGCCCTCCTGGTGCCGCGTCTGTAAGTGTTGGGCGTGAGATCATGTATATGAGCAAGCTCCCCTCGCATTGTGGCTGCCTTTGAATAGTAAAGTCTGGTTCAACCTTGCAAGAGAACTTCTGTTTGATATTCTTTATCGTTTTGCTAGCAAATGCATATGTCACTGGACCGTGAAATGACACTTGGGATCTATTATGAAGAGAAATATATTTTTAAAATATCCCTTTTATCCTGGCTAGTCGGCGTATAAGTTATACATCAAGTTGATGTACATCTTTTCTGGGATCATATTTGTGTCTGACAAAGTGAAGATTCTGACAGTCACTGCATCTGTTTGTGATGTTTGTGAGTCAATGAATATTTTTATAGGCTGCAGCAATATTACAACTCAAAACAACCTGTACATACCGAATTTTCTCCAATAAACACAGGGTATTGATTAAACGCCGGGTATTTTTTCATGCACGGAATTGTCGCCATTATTACGTTTGCGATTAAACGCCGGGCATAAAGAGTGTCTAAAAGAAATATACGCTCGGGCGTTTAATCAAGGAAATACGGTAGTCCAGTCTTGAGAGGACGAACTAGTGGTTGTTGTTGAGTACACATATTATACCTGATCACACTCGTGGAAACATGACCAGTGTAAACCTACTGTGGCCGAGTATTCATGACGCCTATCTAGTGTTGCAGGGGGCACGGGTGGCCCAGTCGTCTAGTTGCGTCCCTTGGGCACGCCAGAAACCTATGATTGTGGGTTCGAATCCCGGTTCGCCCCGATTATGTTTCTAGGTTTGTCAGCACCATACCCGTGCTTCTGGGTTTCACCGAAGTGGTAAACGTCTGAGACCTGCATCACTCCGGGCTTCCTTCCCACATTAAGCTGAAACGCCGTGATATAACTGGAATACTGTTAAAGGCGGCGTTAAACCCAACTCACTCACTCACTCACTCACTCACTCACTCACTCACTCACTCACTCACTATCTAGTGTTGCAAGTAGGATTAACAGAATATTACTTTGAACAATACTGAAAACATATCCTAAATTAATTTACAAATGCTGAGTGCATACACTAAATTATTTGAACAGTTTGGGAAAATTGGTTTATGACTTAGATCATTTTTGAATGTGTACATAGAACGGCTTTAAAAAGTGATGTGTTTATACATACGGTTACGTAGACGAATGTGGAGTGTGTACACTTGACTAGTGATCTCGGGCGAGTCACATTAGGATTTAAGTAACAATGTAGTGTAACTGACATAACAACTTTAGCACAATTTAGATACAACTCTCATAGACTTTGGGTCGAAGAAGTCCGACATAGAAACATAGCTACAGAATTGAGACAATGTGAGCAATGTGATTTAAATGTGATGTTGAGTTACATTTTCTGTTAGTCTATCCAAAATACGACTAAGAAGTAATATAATATATAGAACTTCCTTTTTATGTACATCCAACTCAACACAGATTTATATCGACCATGTCAACAACTGATAAACATACCCCTTAATAACTGTCAGTGTTCATTTATCATGCTATGTTAGAGTATGACCTGCTTATCATATCTGCAACAACTCCCGAAAACAGAATTATACTTACTAGGATCCTGTGGCTTTTCAGTATGGAAGAAAACGTGAGCACATTTGGATTTCAATGGCGATGTAGCTTGAGCACATTAGGATTTCAGTAGTGATGTAGCTTGAGCACATTAGGATTTCAGTAGTGATGTAGCTTGAGCACATTAGGATTTCAGTAGTGATGTAGCGGCAGCACATTTGGATTTCAATAGCGATGTAGCGTGAGCACATTTTGATTTCAGTAGCGATGTAGCGTGAGCTCATTTGGATTTCAGTGGCGATGTAACTTGAGCTCATTAGGATTTCAGTTAGCGATGTAGCGTAAGCTCATATGGATTTCAGTAGCGATGTAGCGTGAGCACATTTGGATTTTAGTAGCGATGTAGCGTAAGCACATTGGGATTTCAGTAGCGATGTAGCGTGAGCACATTAGGATTTCAGTAGCGATGCAGCGTGAGCACATTAGGATTTCAGTAGCGATGTAGCGTAAGCACATATGAATTTTAGCAGCGATGTAGCGTGATCACATTAGGATTTCAGTAGTGATGTAGCGTGAGCACATTAGGATTTCAGTAGCGATGTAGCGTGAGCACATTTTGGATTTCAGTAGCGATGTAGCATGAGCATATTTGGATTTCAGAAGCGATGTAGCGTGAGCACATTTGGATTTCAATGGCGATGTAGCTTGAGCACATAAGGATTTCAGTAGCGATGTAGGTTGTGCACTTTAGGATTTCAGTAGTGATGTAGCGGCAGCACATTTAGATTTCAATAGCGATGTAGCTTGAGCACATTTTGATTTCAGTAGCGATGTAGCATAAGCACATTTGGATTTCAATGGCGATGTAACTTGAGCTCATTAGGATTTCAGTAGCGATGTAGCGTAAGCTCATATGGATTTCAGTAGCGATGTAGCGTGAGCACATTTGGATTTTAGTAGCGATGTAGCGTGAGCACATTTGGATTTCAATAGCGATGTAGCATGAGCACATTTGGATTTCAGAAGCGATGTAGCGTAAGCTCATATGGATTTCAGTAGCGATGTAGCGTGAGCACATTTGGATTTTAGTAGCGATGTAGCGTGAGCACATTTTGATTTTAGAAGCGATGTAGCGTGAGCACATTTGGATTTCAATGGCGATGTAGCTTGAGCACATTTGGATTTCAGAAGCGATGTAGCGTGAGCACATTTGGATTTCAATGGCGATGTAGCGGCAGCACATTTGGATTTCAGTAGCGATGTAGCTTGAGCACATTTTGATTTCAGTAGCGATGTAGCGTGAGCACATTTGGATTTCAATGGCGATGTAGCTTGAGCTCATAAGGATTTCAGTAGCGATGTAGCTTGAGCACATTTGGATTTCAGAAGCGATGTAGCGTGAGCACATTTGGATTTCAATGGCGATGTAGCTTGAGCACATTTGGATTTCAGAAGCGATGTAGCGTGAGCACATTTGGATTTCAATGGCGATGTAGCGGCAGCACATTTGGATTTCAATGGCGATGTAGCTTGAGCACATTTTGATTTCAGTAGATTTGTAGCGTGAGCACATTTGGATTTCAATGGCGATGTAGCTTGAGCTCATAAGGATTTCAGTAGCGATGTAGCTTGAGCACATTTGGATTTCAGAAGCGATGTAGCGTGAGCACATTTGGATTTCAATGGCGATGTAGCTTGAGCACATAAGGATTGCAGTAGCGATGTAGGTTGTGCACATTAGGATTTCAGTAGTGATGTAGCGGCAGCACATTTGGATTTCAATAGCGATGTAGCGTGAGCACATTTTGATTTCAGTAGCGATGTAGCATGAGCACATTTGGATTTCAATGGCGATGTAGCTTGGGCACATTAGGATTTCAGTAGCGATGTAGCGTAAGCTCATATCGATTTCAGTAGCGATGTAGCGTGAGCACATTTGAATTTTAGAAGCGATGTAGTGTGAGCACATTTTGATTTCAGAAGCGATGTAGCTTGAGCTCATTAGGATTTCAAT